CGATTTCACACGACGTCACACAGAAACTGGACAGAAACTGTTGTTATCCGAGATCTTTCTAAATTCAGTAGTTCTGAGGAAATGCATTTGCGAAATTACAGTAATTTCGCATTTACCATAATGTGAAAAGCAAATGCACAATTGGAAGCATTTCCCTGCTTTTTAAATTAATATAATAATAATAAATTTTTATTTATAACCCGCCCCTCTGCGCGGCAATCAGGGCGGGGTACAGCAATTTTAAAATAGAACAAAGTTAAAAACATTCCATTATCCCATAGTCCCACCCTCCCATCCCCTTTTCCTATGGTTCCAGTGAGCATTCCTCTATCTGCGCATGTGCAAAAGATCATTTCTAGTACATTTACGGGCTTTTCTCACTTGTGTGTGAACATTAAATGCGGTGTTAGCATGAGCTTACTGTAATTTCGCAATTAAGGTAATTACGTGTGAAAGCCATTTGTAGAATCAAGGTTTATTTTCAGTTTATTTTCGGAATGCCTCATTTCCACTTTATTATCGCTTTCTGGCCTTAGATTGTTGATATTCCTTCATCCTATTTTCACTCCTCCTTCTTCTGTGTCCAAGCCTGCTTTTCTTATAAAATGTTCATGGGATAATCATGGTATAGTGCACCCTATAGCAGGAGTGGCCTTCCATATGTCATTGGACCTTATTCCCCATCATCCCCAAACAGCATAGCCTATGGTGAGGAATGAGGGCAAATGAAATTCAGCAGCCTCTAGAGGGCCACACATTTCCCATCCTTGTCCTATAGCTTTTCCACCAGTGAAGAATCAAAACATTTTCTCAGTAATGCTTCCCTCATAGGTACAAATTGGCCATGGTTGCATATGGTGGCAAGGGTCAGGAAGAGAGGGTAATGATCACCCCATTAAACATCCATGCTATGGGTAATTGCACCCAGCACTGTCATCAGTGGTTACCCTCCCATATTTACTTTTTTGCACAATTTCTTTTTCTTGGGGCAGCAGGGGTGGAGAAACACCCAATTTTATATTGCTGCAGTCCCAGGAGTTTGCCTAGCAAGCCCTATTTATATTCAGGAGGAGGAGGAAAAGAAGGCCACTGAAAGAGTTATTGCCATGTTATTCAGCTTGGTTGTGCCAAGCCCGCATGGAGATCAGGTTTCTGCTGAAAGGGTGCCAGGCACGTCTGTTTCCAGGAACCAGCAGCCGTATTTAGCCTCAGGCTGCACATGAAAGACTGCAGTCGGAAACGTGACATTGTGTCAACATTCGAGGCAGGTCACAGCTGGGTGAGACCATGAAAACAAGCCAGGGGAGGGGAACTCAACAACACGCCCTGTCTGAACAGTCCAAGTGCGGAGGCAGTGTGCAAACCAAGCCCGTCACAAGCTGATAACTCCAAGCCTCACAGAGGCCCTTTGATGCTTTCTCTCCCTCCCTGCCTCCCCTTCCAATTTGAGGGTTGTTTTCCAGCCAGGACAGAGTAGGCTCACATGCCTAAGAGCATTTTGGGTGAGCATGGCTTCAAAGCAGAGGAAGGAGGACATACAGGGATGGGAAGGCAATCGAGCATGCACATTTTACATTTGCATAGCCAGTTATATAAGGAGAGAGTGTGCTTATGCAGGACTTTCCAGGGGAGGAAATTGGAGCACTGTCGTGCAAATATCCCTCACGCTGCTTGGCCTTGTCTTCTGGTGATAGAGGAAGGCTCCTCCGGCTGCCTGTGGCAAAGTGGGGGCTTTTCCAGTCCTTCTGAGTTCTGCACTGACCCTTTCCCATTTCAAACCAGCCCTGATTATACAATCACCATTACCCACGTCTGGGGATTTTCAACTTCATTTCACATGTGCTAGCTAGCCTCGAACACAATTAAGCTCCCTTTTGTTCGTACAACTGTCAGCAACAGTGGAATTCCTGGGCTTCTAATCCAATGGGGGGGGGGGGTCTTGTCATGTGCCTATTAATCTGGTTAATGCTCTTCATCCACCCCCCTGCCTTTTAGAAAGAATTACTTTGGATCATTATTTGCAATCAGTGACACAGAAAAGAATAACCTTTTTGCCCCTTTTTCTGCAGAGCTGGATAGCTTGTGGCCCTCCAGAAGCTGCTGAACTGCAGCTACGGGCATCTTTCGATATGGGGTATGCTGGCTATGGCTGATGGGACTTGTAGTCCATCAGTTTCTGGAGGGAAGTACAAACAATTAACCAGCTCATTGTTTCTTTTGGGTTGGTTCAGCTTGTTTGTTAGTTGTGTAGATGCTATTACTAGAGCCAGCATGGTGTAGTGGTTTGAGCAATGGACTTGAACTCTAGAGACAGGTTCAAATCCTGGTTTGGCCATGTAAACCCACTGGGTGACCTTGGACAAGTCACACTCTCAGCCTCAGAGGATGACAATGGCAATCCTCCCCAAAGAAACTTGTCAAGAAAACCCCATGATTGGTTCACTGCCTTAGGGTCGCCATAAGTTGGAAAAAATGACTTGAAGGCACACCACACCGAACCTGTTCTAGTTAATTAATGAGAAAGCAAGCAGCCACAGAATGCTGCATGGTAAAGTAGTATGGAACACCTAACTATGCCACAACCACTACTGCTACTACTACTACCACCACCATTGGTTTGACAGTCTAACAGGTGTTATCGAGTTTTGGATTATCAGTGATTCAGATTCCTTCCAAAAATCTAGGAATCGGTGAGGTATTGCTGGATCAAATGACATGTTCAAAGCAGTTTCACTTTTCATAATTGTGCCATTGGGATTTTTGTAATTATACTATTGTGATTCTATCTGTGGCAATTTCATTCGTATTTTTGTTAGTCCATTTGGAATTGCTCCCAGGGCACCTGCCCCTACTGGAATTACAGTTTTCTTTCCTCAGTGGTCAAAATAAGTGAAGATACCATTTTTAAATTTATACAATTTTCTAGCAGTACCAAATCTCAGTTTATACATCTCAATATTTCATAATCTTTTCGCTCTCTTTGTTTTTGATTCTGCCACCCCCTAGGTTGCTCACATCTATAATCCAAGCTTTCTTTTTCTCAACTGCTTTTATGTCTGGCATATTTTATTCTAATAGTGTGTCCATTGGAAAGTCCCATTTTTATGACATGATTTTCAACAACCTTCTCAGGTTTATATTCCCGCCAGTTCTTTGCAGAAGGGAAATCATATTTTTTTTGCATAGACTTTAATGTATCATTGCAGCCAAATTTGTTTGTTTGTTTCCCACTTTTTTCCAGATCAGGACTTAAGGCTGCTTACAAAAGTTTAAACAAATACAGCTTTAAAAAAATCACCTTATACAAAAGTTAAAAGTATTGTTAGACTATCAATAAAATTAAAACCAGTTGAAAACATTGCCATTAAAAAGAAAACAACTAATATACAATAACTAGGAATCATAGGCTTTCCTACTTCAATGAAGGAAGGCATAAACATCCATTACTTGTTCTACCAGTGGGACCCATACCACAGGGTATCTACCGGTATCTTGATACCCATGGAGTAAGTTACTAAGAGCAAAACCCTATGGCTAAATACTCAGAAAGAGGTTTTCTGTAAACAGGCTTCTAGTTAACTGTGAACAGGATTGCACAATATATGATATAATTTTACTACACAGTCCTGAGCATAATCATTACTCAGAAATAAGTAGCACTGAATTCAATTATGTGTATATTCAGGTACGTCTATAAGAGATTCTAGCCTTCATGAAAAAGTAGCTACAGTAAAAGCGACAGCACCAATGATATGATTATGAGTCTGGAAGCTGTCAGATTAGTTTATTATAACAGGAATAAGCAAGAGCAGTTCTCTGGACAAGCTAGAACTCCTTCAAAAAAACTAAAATTGTGATCCTGCATATAATCATAAGTATGTACTGCCGTATTCATTGAGGCTTATTTCAAGCACTGAATTCAGTGCTACTGAATAAGTGTAAACATTTCAGATATTTCAAATATTTGAAGTAGATTTGAAGAGGAGAAGAGTGGTTTATTTTTAAAAACACATTTATTTGCTAGAAATCTAATATTTTTATGCAACCCTGGGAAGAACTTGTTGGCCATAATCCAGAGAGTTACATAGGCACACCCAATATCACATGCATGGTCAGCATGACTTTTGCTTTCTCCTCTCTTAGAAAAGTAGAGAGCTAAATACAACCCTTCAGCCATCACCACCAGCATGCCACAAACTGTTTTCCACTGGAGTTCCAAAAACAGTTTACTGAATGGAAGTGGGAAAAAGGCAGAAGGTCCTGTCCAAAAAATATATCAAAAGCACCAGCAGGTGCAGCTTGCCAGCCATTCAGCTTTCTGGATTGTGGCAGCAACAACAGTGCTGCCATTTGCAATTTCTTTGGCCTATGATGGCTTTTTAAAAAAATTGTGACAAGAAGAAAGAACATAGCATTTTGTATGTGTTTCTAGCTTGTAATTTAATCTTTACAACAAACTTTCCAAAACAAATCCAGCATTTTTCAAGGGAAAATGAAACAGCACATGAACCTTAAGTCTAGATGAATCTCGTACAGAATTGCTGTGTTCAGAGAGGTGTACAGCAGTTACACCCAGACAGCATGTTGGAGCATGTAGCAAAGCCTAAGGGAGAATCTAGTGACCTGGGAAATAGGCATGGCAGTTGGCTACCCCTTCAACCAAAGCATGTGCCTGTCATCTATATCAAGCCAAGCCCAACCCTGCCTCTGTTTAAATTGAAAAGCCATTTCTCACTGACTTCAAGAAACACTGAGAAAGGGACAGAAAGTGCCACTATTTTCTTAATGATTCTGAAATCTGAAGTATACCATTAAATAAGGATTATGAGATATTTTTGGTTTGCAGGCATCTTTGCCATAGGTAATGGAATTACACCTGTGGAGATCTCCAGTTTTCAAGGAAATACACTGCAGATACACAGAGTGTTACTATTTTTTTCAAAGCAGAATTTTGGACAAGGAGATTTCCAAAGCTCCACCTGTTGATTGGTCTAACCCAGTTATCTTTCTCAGAGGTAATAATATCGGAACCATTGACAATAATCTTTGAGAACTCCTGGAAAACA